TTGCATATGTAGCTCGGTGTCTGAATTGTCAGCAGGTTAAGTACGAGCATCAAAGACCTGGTGGTTTGCTTCAGAAGTTAGAAATTCCTGAGTGGAAGTGGGAGCGTATCACTATGGATTTAGTTGTTGGGCTCCCACGAACTCAGAGAAAATTTGACGCAGTTTGGGTCATTATGGACAGGTTGACGAAGTCAGTACATTTCATTCCAGTGGCAGTCACCTATTCTTCAGAGAGGTTAGCTGAAATTTACATCCGTGAGATTGTCCGCCTTCACGGTGTGCCCGTGTCTATTATTTCAGATCGAGGTATGCAGTTTACCTCACATTTCTGGAGGGCTGTGCAGCATGAGTTATGCACGCGGGTGGAGTTGAGCATAACCTTTCATCCACAGACAGACGGACAGTCAGAGCGCACTATTCAGATATTGGAAAATATGATCTGCGCTTGTGTTATAGACTTTGGAGGTTCTTGGGACCATTTCTTGCCACTTGCAGAGTTTGCTAATAATAATAACTACCAGTCGAGCATTCAGATGGCTCCATATAAGGCATTATACGGAAGGCGATGTCGATCGCCAGTTGGTTGTTTTAAACCGGGAGAGGCTCGGTTGTTGGGTACCGATTTGGTACAGGATGCCTTGGATAAGGTCAAGATTATTCAGGATCAACTTCGCTCAACTCAGTTTAGGCAAAAGAGTTATGCCGATCATAAAGTTCGTGATATTGCATTCATGGTTGGAGAAAGAATATTGCTCCGGGTTTCACCTATAAAAGGTGTAATAAGGTTCGGAAAGAAGGGCAAGTTGAGCCCTAGGTATATCGGACCTTTTGAAGTTCTTGAAAGGGTGGGTGAAGTAGCCTACATGCTTGCACTACCACCTAGTTTATCAGTGGTTCATCCAGTGTTCCATGTGTCTATGCTCTGGAAATATCATCGTGATCCATCCCATGTGTTAGATTTCAGCTCAGTCCAATTGGACCAAGATTTGACTCACGAGGAGGAGCCGATGGCTATTCTTTCCCGGTAGGTCCGACAGTTGAAGTCTAAGAGTTATCCTTCAGTTCAGGTGCAATGGAGAGGTCAGCCGGTAGAGGCATCTACCTGGGAGTCCGAGTCGGACATGCAAAGTAAATATCCACACCTTTTCTCTAGCTCAGGTACTTTTTCTAACTCCGTTCGAGGACGAACGTTTGTTTTAAAGGTGGAGAATGTGATGACCTAAAATGTCATCTTTAAATTTAATAAGTAATTTTGTGTTCTAAGACCTCAAAAAGTACCATTTATCATTTCTTGACTTGCGTGCACAGTCCATAAAATTTTTCAAAAAGTTTTCATGTGAAAAATAGATTAAAATGTGAAATAGAGCTTTAAAACCCAACCGAGTTGACTTTGGTCAACATTTTTAACAAATAGACCCGGATCAGTGTTTTGATAGTTCCAGTAGCTCCGTATCGTGATTTGAGACTTGGGCGTATGACCGGAATTTAATTTGGAGGTTTCTAGCTCAAGTTATGACCATTTAACGAAACTAGCAATTTAAAGGTTAAAGACTTCCAAGTTTGACCACGAGGTTGACTTTTTGATATCAGAGCCGGAATCCGATTATGGAAATTTGAATAGATCCGTTATGTCATTTATGACTTGTGTGCCAAATTTGAAGTCATTCCGGATTCATTTAATATATTNATTACCTGGTTAATTTTTATTATTGTTGTTGTTACTAATATTGCGTACAAGTAATGTAAGTGACCCGCCTTAGCCTCGTCACTATTTCGTCGAGGTTAGGCTCAGCACTTACCAGTACATAGGGTCGGTTATACTGATACTACACTCTGCACTTCTTGTGCAGATTTTGGAGTTGGTCCGAGCGACGTACCATAGACTTGCTCGGATTTCGGCTACTCAGAGGAGACTTGAGGTATAACTGCACGGCGTTCGTAGTTCTGAAGTCCCCGTCTATTTTACTTTAGCTGTGTTTTTATTTTCAGACAGCTTTAATTTATTCAGACCTTTATTTGTATTTATTTTAGAAGCTCGTGCACTTGTGACACCAATTCTGGGATGGTATTTAGACACCGTTATTTTTATGGATTATTCACTATATTTTAGACTTTATTTCCGTATTTGTTCTTTGATTATTAATAAATTTAAAAATTATTTTAAAAATTGATAATATTATTCTAACGTTGGCTTGCCTAACAAGTGAAATGTTAGGCGCCATCATGGTCCGAATGTGGAAATTTCGGGTCGTAACAAATAGACTCCACAATAGTGAATCTATCGATGACCCATTCAAACTAGCTAATATATAGTGAATAAGGCAGCGGATTTCTAACCTTGGCAGTTGAAATCATATACGTCTCAAAAAGTTCGAATAAGTTATCACATCGTCTAATATCGTCACCATAGAGTATTACACAAATTTGGTCCTCCTACAATGTTATTAAGAGAAATAATGCAATAATTATTGGGAGAGTACAAGTGAGAAGATGTTATGTTACAATTATAGTTGTAACTTGACTTACGTTTTCATCCTGGACAATTATTGTCTGAAAACGAACTCGTTGATCTCTACTGTCTCGCGGCCGAAATTTGTCTACAATCTGGACTTTGCAAGTCCATTATGTAGTTAGTAGTGTAATTTCACTGATACTAAGTCTTTCTTCCATTTTATCAATATAACCTGCATATTGATATTCGTAAAATTGCAAGAACAAACCATCCCACATTACAAATATGAGGCAACAAATAAAGAAAGTAAAAAAGAAGTAGATATAAAATTCATGAGAGAAATTCAATATTAATTGCAAACTAGTTGGAGAAAGACTGTTATTCCATGAAGCACATTACAAGTATGAGTACAAAGAAAGCTTCCACTTTGATGGGGAATTCATTTCACTAGGGAAACTATTTCTAGCTTGTACTTATAAAATTTTTGAAAGTTATTTCCGCTCTACTCTAATTCTGTATCGTTTACTCCTATAACATTTGAATATCATCTCCATTGTTTACTAATTTGTGATTATCAATGAAGTTGGTATACTATTCACTCTGTGTTCAACCAGATCAGGAAAATGACTTGGGAAAGTAGTATCCTTGAGTAAAATAATTTCTAAAATATTACTTTACACGCATATAGTTGCTCCTTTACGCCATACTGATAGGGGTATGTGTGACACTGCATAGAGGAATACAACCTAATTAATAGTTGTACAAAAATCACAAATACGTCCAATTAATCTATACCTAATTAATGTTCAGCTTTCAGGTGAGGATCCTCTTGCCAACAGTTGCTTGATTATGACCGGTATTTCTTCTGCTGAGACCAAAGATTGAAAGAAATGCATACTTGTGCAGAATAAAATAAAAACTACTTAAATACCCATAAACCTAAAGTTCTTGAAGAATCCAAGAAAATTAAGGAAAACCTTGAATATGAAAGACTTGGCGTATTCAATCAAAAAACTAAAACCCTTAGCTCACCGTCTTCGAAGAAAAAAAACATTAAACACATTGAAAATTAAACACAAACAAATAGAGTTTTTGAAAAACCTTAGATAAATCAACGGACAATATAAATCAGAAACCTAAAAATAGATAAAGCAGAAAGGAAAGACACATAGTGAAAAAAGGAATATCCCCAAAATAAGAGTTCATACCGGTGAATAAATAAAGGAGTAAATGACTAATAAAATAAAAGAGCTTGAGAAGAGAGAATGAAAAAGATGAAGATTTTGTTAGTAGAAAAACAACGATCGGAGAAGAAGCACATTAGGAAAAGATTAGTTGAATTTCAGGCTTAGCAATGGAAAAAGGCCAAAGCAATTAGGTTTAAACTCCAATTTTTCACCTCAAAATTAGGTGAAGCATATAGATTTGACAAGTAAAAAATTAGGTAAAGCATATAAAAAGAAGAATACACAGCAACACCCATAAATCACAGCAATTTTAAACCTTCTTCCGAATAAATAACTAGTACACCGATACAACAAAACATAAAACAAAGACAAAGAACAGTAGGAAGTGTAAACTAACCAACTCAACTGCGGAAACAAAGAGGATGTACACAGGGAGAGCAGAGCAGATTAATCACTTTAAAATAGAGAGAAATCTAAAGATAAGCAGAGAAAGAAGATCTGTCAAAACATGCAGTGGAAACCCCAATTCCCTATTAAAGTAAAATTGATGTTCAGATCTAGACACAAAGAGTTTAAAATCGAAGGATGAAGGATTAAATAATGAAGAAGGAGAAGGCATGGCAATTGTAGACAAGCTAAGAGCGAGAAAAGCAAATCATTATGCGATGGCCATAGAGGTATTCCACGTGTAATGCTGTTAATATCAACCCAACATGTAAAATATGTATAAGTGGGCTTTGAAAATGTCCCAGAAATTTTCATTATTTATAAATTTCTCTAATAGCAATGAACGTAAAAATATTGAAAAACGGGGGTAAAAATATAAAAGTCTAAGATGATGCCCCCGAACTGCATGGAATGACCATGATGCCCTCGAAGTGACAGGCAGAGATGTCATTCGCCTGCTTACTGCCTCTTATTAGATAGTAGAAAAAAATTAGGTGAAGCATATAGATTTGGCAAGTAAAAAATTAGATAAAGCATATAAAAAGAAAAATACACAGCAACACACATAAATCACGACCTTCTTCCGAATAAATAACCGGTACACCGATACAAAAAAAATAAAACAAAGACAAAGAACAGTAGTAAGCCAAACAAACCAACTGAGGTGTGGAAATAGTAGAAATATAATTTCCCGTTGACCAAAAAAAATGTACACGTGTAGAGAAGATTTCGAAAATCCAATTTTTTCACGAAGGTTTAAAAATGAAATGTCAAATTTGAAATATTTGTACACGTGTAGAGCGTGCGAGTCAGTTTTTAGGCACGAATAAGAGCCGAACGGCCTCCATTTCATGCCCCAATCCCTCCTCTATTTCTCTCTCTTCGCTGTCAAAACACACGCGCATTGTGCACTGCCGCCTTTCTCAGTCTGCTCGTAATCTCCGTCGACTCAACGATGACCGGTGACCAACGGAGAATGTCCATAGACGGCGAGAACGTGCAGGTACTCTAGTTTTCCTTTTTCCTTTTTTTTTTGTCTCGTTTACCTTAGACTAAGTGAACTGATGGCTTTTTAGCTGCTGGTTCTATTAAAACGCACATTCTGTGTTAGAGTTTGAGGCTAAGATATATAAACCCCCAAAACACTTAATTAATGCTAATAGACACTGGAAATTACATCATGCATGTATTCTGATACAATTCTCCTGAGAATTTAGATGCTTTTTTTGGCTGCTAACTTAAGATATCATTAATGTAGTATGAATCAGAGAATCTAGGGCTCCAGTTAGAGATTTTACCTGATCTCGGCCTTCTATGATATCCAACTGCATATATATATTTCACGATCATGTAGGAATTAAAGGAGGATGTTAGGATCCAGCAGAATGGGAATTTTTCAAAGCAAGAGCGGGGTGGGGGGTGCTTTTTATTTAAAGGTTGAGCTTTGAGATAAGTCTCATTAAGTCCACCACTTTTTTTTCTAGCCCGGTATATTGACTCTCAACCTACTGAAATTTTATGCTTCCCTTTTACTTTTGAACCAGAGTTCCTTTTCTTTTCATTCACTAAGAATTAAAATAACTTAAAAATAACCCTTGACTGAGGAGGGTGTCAGAAATAACAAACATTTTACCGATGGTTGGTGGTCAATCAGACCTACGTCCACAAGTTGAGAGAAGCAATTCACTATTTTAGTGATGGGTACAAGGAGAGCACAAAATTAGAGACGACGCACGACACTAGTAATATCTGAAAGTAATAGGAGAGAGAATAACCTCTGATAATACACTCACAAGGAGCTCACAGAGAGGTTTTCTCAAGTGTAAGGTTTGAGACTTTTTTTAATAAATAACCTAACAGTAAACCTAATTCTAAAACCTACATCTTAAAGTAGATGCTACTCAAGATAGTGTCAATTTATAGGTGGATTCAGTCTCCGGCGAATTCTTTTTGCATTTAATATAACAAATCTTCAGACTACGACCTAATTTAATTCTTCAGATCACAGTTTATCAAAGAAATGCGCTTGTTGCACCCATTTTGTCGGAACAATGCATGACTTGCTAATGACTGTGTTACGTGCTCCTTGCACCACAACAACGCCCTAAAGTTAGATGATGACATTTGAAATCAAACAAATCTGGCGGCATTAAGGAGGCTGCCAAGTTGAATAAACATTGCCCATCAACTTGTATTGAGAAGATTCACCTGCTGAAATCAGGACGAAACAAACAAAGGAGTTGGGGCCTGCCTTCTTTGAGAATGAAGGCCACTTGGAGGAAAGTTGAAGATTTCCAAATGCTTTTGGTTTTATCCCCATGCCTGAACGTGACAGTTCACTTTGAGTATTCTGTTTATTTTTTTTAGTATTCTGTTAGCTTTTGTCAAAGCTGCAAGTTATCTTGTAGTTGTGCATTAATTTTCAAGAACTACTAGAGGCTAGATGCGCAAGACAGTTGTATTTCTTTTTAGATTCACATCGGAAGAGAGCAAACATGGATGTAACTAAGAGGAAAAACTTTGTCAAGTTTCATGCTAACCAACTTGATCTGTGGGAGCAAACATGCTCTTTTTGACATTGGATCCGATTACATTATTGAAGGTCCTCAAGTTTGTTTTTATGTATTTGTGTTTGTTAAGTCTAGTAGGGGCATGTAAACAGGCGTACTTATTGAACAAATGGCATGTAAACCGGAGTTGATCTTGTGGTTGGGAAATAATTGAGGACTGCATTCAAGATATCTGAGATTTTTATTTAGTCACTGCCTTATTTTATTTTATTTTATTTTTCTAATCCATTTGACTGCTCGCACTTGGGATATGGGAGAGTCATCTTCTTCTGCAAGATATGCTGCAATAGTGAGGTTGGCTAAGGGTTTCGCTGACTTGCTATTATGTTGCTAGGAAGGGTCCAGGTGGCGGATATTGGTCTGCTGGTATTCATCTGCTTGCTTATTGACTGTGGAAACCTGAGAGTCCTACTACCATTTCTTTTTTCACTTTATATTTGTGTTGTCCTTTCTCTTCAAACAGATTGAGAATGCACTTATGAGCAGATTTTTCATTCTGAGAACCATTTTTCTTTCTGAACACAATAATATCAATCCCTTTGCCGTTTCCCGTTACCAATTTCAATTTTATACCTGCAACCTTGAGGGACTTAGCTTCAAAGCACTTTCATTTGTTAAAGTTGAAGCCAGTATTTGCACTAGTAGCTGAAATAGTCAAGTTTGTCTTCCATTGCCAAATTGTTGGTCACGTGTTCAAAATTTACTAAAAATGTGAGCTGTTAAATTAAAACTACAACACCAGTTTATACTTTAGACCTCTTTCTATCTATGGTATATCGGCTGCAGAAACTTTTGGCATCCTGTATTTGAAATATGCATGTTCAACCTTTCAATATATATTTTCAGAAGGAAAGTATACTGTATGTTCCTCCTAAATGAAACAAAGATAAAAAGTGGCTTGAAGTACAATTTACATATTGTTACTTGTTACATGGTAGATATGGCGGGAGACTCTAGGGCCTTATGAATAGACACTTGTTGAATCTTTTCTTGATAAGCAACTCCAAATACTGATGTTTGCTCTTATTTTTCTTTGATTCCAGCTATCTATCAGTCCTAAGGCACTAGCTGTGCATGATCCATCAAAGTTCAATCAAGGAGGTCAGATTAATTCCTCTGTTTTTGCTGGCGACCGCGACACGATGCAAAATGGAGCTGCTGAGGCAGTTATCTGCAATTCCAAGGTTGTTAAAATTATGAAAGATATCTGCCCAGGTTGTTTTATTTTATCATGCATGGATGGAATATGCACAATAATCTTGATTTTAGGTATAGATATATCTATTTACAGCCATTATTTGAGATGATAATGGACATTTAGTTATTGTGAAATAGATGGATCAATATTAATAATTAATTCATTTAATTTTGCAGAAACTTCAAGATGCAATGCAGGAGATTGGTCTGAAAATTAAACACCATGAAGATAATATCAAATTCTTAAAGGCTCAGAAGAATATATTGGATGATTCAATTCTAGACACACAAGGTACTGTTTCCTTCTGTACAAGATACTGTTTCCTTCTTTTCACGTTTATTAGGTTGCTGCAAAATGCATGTGTAAACTTTTAAAAGGCACTGTAGTTACTTTGTTCTTTCAGTATCCTAGAATATTATGCTTTTACGCTTCTCTTTATGGAAGGGAACAATCCAACACGGTAAGATCTTCATATCAAGTGTTGTGCTCCACGTTTCAAGTATATATGGATATTTTCAGTATTCTAGAATATTATGCTTTTACGCTTGTCTTTATAGAAGGGAAGTAGGGAACAATCAAACATGGTAAGATCTTCATATCAAGGGCTGTGTTCCACGTTTCAAGTATATATGGATATTGTGATTACCTGTAGCGTGAAATATCGGCCATCAGCTTGTTTAAACGATCTGACAGAGGCCTAATATCTTCTCCATGGGTTTAATTGTTGGGTATTGCGTATTTGAAAGCACTCCATGTGGACTATATCATTCAGTTTAATTTTGTCTTTCCCTTTTTTGCATATGCTTTTTCACTGTTTCTCAATTTTAAATTCTTGTGCTTGTGTGGTACTGTAGTTGCTCTTGGCAGGTATCAATCAGCAAGTGAACCTGGCTCTCAAAATAACGAATCTTCCAATAGGCGGAATGAGGAGGAGATCATTGAACAAATTCTAAAACATGATAAATCTGCAGCTGGCATCTATTGCCAGCTGAAAACTCATCATGGACCTCAGGTTACTCATCTTCCGTTACTGAAGGACGTGATAGGAATTGTTGCTTTGCTTGGGAAGGTTGACGATGATAATCTCAGCAGGTTAATTTCACATATCATCCAGTATTTGCTTGCATTTTCTACCAAAAAAGAAGAATCTGTTCCACGTTTTTTGTTGTCTTAAATCCAAATTCTCTGCTAGTTTTCTCCAGCCATGTTTTAGAAATTATACCATTTATTCACGCTCAATCAAGATGACATGTGGCTGCATGAAGGTTAAGACAGAAAGTTTGATTATTTTCTGGTCTTTGAATTTATCACAGGTATAGTCGAAGTGATAGTTGATATTTGTAAGGCTAAGATAATATATGGTATTATCTATGTTAGCTTATATTCTAGGACATTAAAATTTTACCTTCCAAGGAAAATAGTCAAGTAAATCGAGACAGACGAAAATGGAAGTAGGTTAAGTAAATTGATATTGAGGGAGTAGTGCTTTTTGATGTCTCTTCATTGGGTTCATTTTGTATCCAAAAGGATTTTTGTTTCCAGAAATTTTAGATGTGTTTGCATTAATTATTTTCTGATTAATTAGGCGTGTTTGTATGATCATAATAGTATTATTATTATTATTATTTACTATTATTGTTGTTGTTGTTGTTACTGTTATTTTTCTCGTTTGCTTTTACAAACTGATCTGGGGATAACCCATTGTTCGGAACACTACCTACAGTTGATACTGTGAAGTTATTAAATAAGATAAACCCTTTTACTTCTGCCAACTACCAAACAAAGGGTTCCGAATTTTGTTTGGATTTAGAAGTAGGAGATGGTGAAATAGACCTATTTCAAAGCTCTAGCCGGACTTCTCTTCTACACACCGGCACATCAAGAATCAGGTGTTGGTCATCCCCCCCCCCCCTCTTGTAGTTCAATTTCGTCCTCCTCCTCCTTGCCGATGGTGGAAGGCCCTTCTATTTCCAGTGCTGAGTCACCAGAAGGCTTTCTGGTCCAAATCTAACCCCATCTACCATAAAGGAATGTTTTGCATGTAATATGCATACTTAGTTATGTGAGTTTTTCTGTAGATTTGATCAGAAAATGTGTAGGACTTGCTGGTGATTTAGAGATCAGAGTGGGCTTTGACTATTGATTAAATTCTCTAGTCTCTCTCCCTGTTCTACATTTACTTGCCTAGAAAAAAATCTGACTCTCTTGCACTGTCTTATTTTTGGGCCTTTTTTCTTGAGAATGGTAAGAATTTAAGGGGAGAAAGGGAAACATAAAAGTTATAGTTGACAAACAAGCCCTTAGCATGTTGAGACTCTTTTGTGTATGAAAATAAGCTTCTCTTTGCTTGAAAAAATGTCTTGGCGTGATGTAGGAGTTAGAATCTGAGTAATTCTCTGCATTTCGTGAGCAGAAGATGATGCCTCCACAGGTTGACATCCGATCCAACCTAGTAGTAAGCAATCCGCCAAAAGCGAAGCATGATGTTTAAAGAAGTAGGCAGATAATGGAAGTTCGTTCTGTATCATGATTGACATTTGTATCTTAATCTCTGAAATGCAGGTTGCTCTCAGATTATCTGGGGCTAGAAACCATGTTAGCAGTTGTTTGCAAGACACCTGATGGAATTAAAGCACTGGAAACTTATGATAAGGAAGGTTTTATAAACAAAAGTTCGGGTCTCTATGCCCTTGGAGCTTCAATTGGTAGGGCTTTGGATGCCCGATTTGTTGTTATCTGTCTTGGGAACTTAAGGTTTGAGGTTAAAATGATCTCCTTTTGCAACTGCTGATTATCTTTAACACCTCTTTACTCTCTTTCCATTTTTCTTTTATTCTTTTTTTTTTTGGGTTATAAATTTAGACCATATGAAGGTGCATTCATTGCTGATGACCCTCAGAGGAGGCTAGCTTTAATGAAGCCAAGATTGCCCAATGGGGAAACTCCTCCTGGTTTCCTTGGTTTTGCTGTTAATATGATCAATATTGACAGTGCGAACTTATATTGTGCTACAAGCACTGGTCATGGCTTGAGAGAGACTCTCTTCTATAAACTCTTCTCACGGTTGCAAGTATACAAAACAAGGACAGAGATGCTGCAGGCACTAACTGTCATAACACATGGAGCCATATCTTTGGATGGTGGGATCATAAAAAGTAATGGTGTATTTGCCTTAGGCTACAGGTAAAGAGGCTTTCTTAACTAGTGATATATCTGTATTTCATTCATTCATTTTTTTTATTTCTTTCAAAATTCAGCTTGTTTGATGATGGTACCCTAAAAAAGCTGGTCAGCTTGTTTTATTCCAAACTATTTTTTTTGAATTAGTTATCCTAAAAGGAAAAAAGAAAAAAGGAAAGAAGAAAAAAGTTTATAACACATTTTAGTAGTTAATCAGGAAAGATGACCTATAATATAATTATCTGCAGAAGAGTTTTGACAATTTTTCACATTTAGAGTTGGCAGTGGTAATTGAATACATTTCTGTTTGATGTATGACCTATAATTTAATTATCTGCAGAAGAGTTTTCACAATTTTTCACATTTGGAGTTGGCAATAGTAATTGAATACATTTCTGCTTGATGTATGATGTGAGGCTTAACTTTCTCTATCATGGTTGATAACGTGCCAAAAATGCTTAGAAGAGATGGATCAAGTATCTTGGGAGATATTCCAGGTTGGAATGGGATAAAGTTGATGAATCCTTACAGGAATATAGGAGGAACAAAAAATGATTAGGAGAGCAGGAACAAGTATTTCTCTGGTGAAGTCATGTTACGGACGCTTGCTCAGGCCCTCAGGGGTAGTTAGAGAAGGCCAGATGCATCAATATGGAAAACTAAATCACCTAAGAAAGTGGCATTCTTTACGTGGTGTGCGATTTGGGAGGCTATCCTTACGACAAAGACGAGATGCATTGGGGTGTGTGAGTTAGTATTGTATGTGTTAGATGCTGAGGGAGGATGCGGTCATTTACTGTTACATTGTAGTTCAACCCATCAGTTAGTAAGTTCCATTTTTAAAAAAAAAAAATATATTTTACATTGCAGTTTCTCAATGGAGCTATGTGCCATTATATATTCTATGGGTTATAGAGGTTGTAGCAACTGAAATGTTTCGCAATTAAAAAAAAAAATTGGGGAGACAATCACCCGTTTTGATTGAACATGCTACCAATCAATACCTTGCCTTAACCAGTTGACAAATTTACGGAAAGTTGGAGGGTGGAGAGAATAGAGGTTACAATGAAACTGATTAATGTCAAAGAATCATTTGTTTCAGTTGTTTTTTTGGTGTGAAGAAACTGTAGATAGTCGGATGGATTTTATGGATTTTTAAATGGCATACCTTTTCTAAAGTGAACATTGTCTTGGTGGCCCACGATTGAATTCAAGTTACCCGAACGGCTTCTATCAGTTATTTAGCATTTTAATCTTCACATACATAATACACACACACACACACACACACACACACATATATATATATATATTTATATATATATATCAGATGTATTTGAGTATGCTGCATATTTTATTGTTTTATTGATTGCATCACTGAATCTTTTGGGTTCTCTTTCTCTTGTACTTTTTGCGTGAAGTGAAGTAGAGGTCAAATTTCCAAAGAGTTCCGGAAGGTCAAATCTGCCTGAAAACTATTTTGATACTGAGAGCCGGTTGAAAGAGCTGAAGTGGAAAAGGGATAGATTTCTGGAAGATTTACATAGAGAACAAACATTGCTGGACCATGCAAAGTTCAACTTTGAAATAAAGAAGCAGGAGTTTGTCAAGTTTCTTGCGCATAGCTCATCCTTTGCTACCCCGGTAATTACTCGAGTTTGTCTAGTCAGAATATGCATGCTAAGTCAACGGTAATAGTTTGTGCTTTTGATACCAAGCAGAAATAAATGAAGTCATCTCATAGTTGATTTTGGTGAAAGCTTGGCCGTTTTAGCTTGATCATCATCCTGCGTTAATTAATTGACACGTGAGTGGACCCACGTAGTGTTAAGAGGGTTCAAATAAACCCGCTTCATCGAAAAAATTTGGTATTTTATTGCAACTTAAATTCTCTAAAATATCGATATAAATTTTGATTGAATCCACTTGACCTAAGGTGATCTTGTGGAAAGATGGTCAATTGAGTTCAAACTTTTATGTTAGTTGGGCATCCGAAGCCTAATTGTCGCAAATTTCTCGCAAGCTAGCTTTTTAGTTTATTCTTCTTTTCCCTTTTTCTTTTTTCTTTTTAAATTATGAAGACCTATAACCTGTTTGGTCAAGCTTCTCCAAGGCTAAAAACACTCTTTTTTTTTAAAAAAAATACTTTTTTTTTCAAAGTTGAAGTGTTTGGCCAAGCTTTTAGAAGAAAAAAGTACTTTTGAGTAAAAACAGAAGCAATTTTGGAGAAGCGGAAAAAAGTAGCTTCTCCCAAAAGCACTTTTTTGAGAAGTACTTTTGAGAAAAATAAACTTAAAAGCACTTTTTAAAAACTTGGTCAAACACTAATTGCTGCTCAGAAGTGTTTTTCCAATTAATTAACCAAACACAAACTGCTTCTCACGAAAGTACTTTTGAATAAAGCACTTAAAAAAAAAACACTTCTCAAAATAAGCTGATTTTAGAAGCTTAGCCAAACATGCTACTAGCCTTGTTAGCTAATTGGCTTATTCCCCTTAGTGTGTTTTAATTTTTTTTATCTCTATTTTCTACTACTTTATTTTCTATTTTATTTTATATTTAGTCTTTCTACTCAAATCCAAAAGGAGTCATTGTACCTTCTCTTTTTTTTTAATCAGGTAAGGTAATTTGTACCTTCTATTTTACTTTAAAAGATCAAAAATTTCTACAATGTGAAATCTTACATTAGTTTTGCTAAAATACGCAAGTGCAATCATTGAAATTATTTATAATTGGTTAGTTCCTCTTAAATTAGTTTATACTAATTCTTTTATATATGTTACATTGAAATTATTAGTTTACTCTATAGCTCTCTTCTCTATAGCCTGTATTAGTTTGTTTTAAGTTATACTCACTTTAATTTTGTTGTCTTTTGTTTGTGAATTAACGACTTTGTTCTTTATCAATAAGAAAAAGATTTTAGATTTAGTCAAATTTCATTAGAGTCTGATAAATAATTTGGTAAAATAGAACTTTTTCGATTCAAGTTTAACAAATTTGAAAGTTCATTGATTTTACATTGTGAATTAAATAGAAAAATTCTTAAATACTTTTAGTTAAATTGATGATCTTTGTTAAATGTTTTATATTTCTTGCCCAACTTTTTACGAAAAAAATAGTAAAACGAATGCCGACCTCAACTTTTTAAAATTGTTCATTTTTTTGGTAGCATTATGATCCAAAAAAAGAGACACAAATCTCACTTGTCAGAATCACCCTTATAGTCGCTTAACGTCATTTTTCATTGAACCCCCTTGCGTAAAACATTTGGGTCCACCACTGGATTAACAATGACATTTGATAGATGCAATTATGCACTTGCATTTATTATGCTAGCAGAGAACTACTCTACATAGAAAGAGATGCCCTTTTTTCCATTGGAGCTTTTAAGCTTGTCCTTTCTTTGTATGCCGTTTATAGATGTTCTCTTTGAGCATTCTAAAGATGTAGAGATTAGGAAATTGAGATGCTAAAACATTGGTTAATTTTTGCTACAGTAGTTTCATGAGGAAGGGACAGAAATGGTTTTTTCTTGGATGCAGTAAAACTATCCTTTTTCAATTACGGACGTTTATACTGAACCTCATTACAGATGAGAGAGAACACATTTTTTAAGTTTGTACTGGAACATTCAAATAACAAGAGTGCGCTTACTAATGTAGCAAGTTTTGGTATCACATGTTTGCTTCCTCTGAAGTAAATTGTTACTAGAGAAGATATGGACAATAGAAAATTTAGTAGTTTAGGTATTAAATTGGTCGTTTTATTTCGATATTTTAGGAATAAATGCCAAATCTCCTAGTAATACTAGTATAAATTCAGGAGAGCAAACAGATTGAAGAAATGAGTGGAAGATATGATTAGGACACCAAAGAGAAGATTACTAGTAGATTAAGGATGCAATTTAGGAAGATCTGGAGTGCAGTTCCTTTGTGTATCATCTGTACTGTTTGGAAAGAAGAAATCAGAGCTGTTTTGAATGAAGAGCAGAGGCATTATTACATAGTATAGAACATACATCTTTGCTAAATCTAGCTTTTTGGTGTAAAATTCAAGATGCATATGATTTTTGACTCAGATGGACCTTATAATGCATTGCATTGTTGTAAGCTTTTTGGTATAAAAAGCAAGATGTATATGATTTTAACTCTATAGAATCCATTACTAGTTGTAAGAAAGGTAGTCGATGCTCTATCTACATATCTCTCCCTCGGTGCTGTTTTTGTAAATTAAGTTATCCGTCCTATAAAATAAAAAAAAAGGATGTCAGGTTATGAACTACAATTCTCTTTTGAAGGATCTATTACTTACTAGACCTTATGAAGTTTTACTATCAGTGTATGACATATTGTCTCTGTGTATGCAGCAAAAGTTTCCGGCAGGAGGGGAGCAGTCTACCCCGATATCATGAATGATTGCGTGGGAAATTTCAGACCAATTCTAGTATTAGACAGGAGGAAAAGCTTTATCAGTTAATTCAAAGCTACAGCTTTAATTTATAGTCCGGACAATGCTCTCTTGGATCACAAGGATTATATGTGCAGTTATATGGTATCCTTGTTTGGGTCAATTTCAGATTTGGGTGCAGACTTATGTCTGTCTGATTATTCTTTAGGTCAATTTTCAAAATGGATCGTTCATTTAGGACAGGGTACCCTTTTCTCCTTATCCCTTCTTTTAGGTATAGAATGTGCATCAACTGTACAGTCGTGTTAGCTTGCAAATTCTCTTGATACTTGAGGTTGAAAAATATGCTGTTTCCTTGGCCATAGTGCTAAATTTTATCCAATTCATAAATTGCAGCTACCGACCCTTGAAATGTTGAAACTACCCTATTGGTTATTGCTATCTAATTTCTATCGTTTCATTGGCAATCTGGCTTTCAGGGGTGTCAATGGATATTTAAAAATCGATTAAACCGATCGAACCGTAATGAACCGATTTCTAGGTTTCTTTTAATAAAATTGTAGGTTTTTTTTTTTATATAAATCTATAAACGAACCGATAACTAGGATAGGTTTTTTATTTTATAAAAATAAATCGAAAAAATATCGAATTGTACCGAATAAATTTACATGTGAAAAACATATTTATATATTAAGTTAAAGAATAATAATGAATTAAAATTTTCCTTGGGGCTTGAAATTGTGAAAATGGTTAGAAACTGAAAAATATGTACGGTACAAATTTTAGAAAGTAACTGTTAGAACCGAACCATTGACACCCTACTGGCTTTGCTTTTCCTGGATTTGCTTTAATCGAATATTTATTAGAAATTTCGGTTGTACAGCTACTTATAAATTCAAATTGACAAAAAAAGAAGACAAGATAGAGTAGAAAAAAATTGTCCTCTTTAAATTTACTGTGTGTTAAACAAACGACAATGGAAGGAATTGAGAGAGAGGTGGTTCTCTTTTTATAACGAATAGTTTCCATTAAACTTGCTTTGTACATTATGTATAGTAATGGAGAATCTTAAAGAATAGTATCTTCTTAATGATAATGTCTTCTTCTTCTCAGTAAAAACCTATTCTTTTTTTTTTTCCTATTCTTTTGCAATGATAAAGAGAAGAATGGCTTCCAAGTACTGGTTATAAAATGAAGCACCCATTAAAAATCATCACCTACATCTATCTTCACACCCTTTTTCGATATATATACACCATCTTTTGTATACATACATAGAGATCCATTAATCTATTCTATACAAACGACACGACACGACACATACATAATTTACAGAACTATTCTCTTTCTTCGTTAGAAAATAGTTCTTGTTCATGACCAATATTGATGTTACTCCGTGATTTGCTGGTGGAAATCAAAGGATTATAGCAACAAAATGATTTTTGGCGCCACATAGGTTATCTGCTATTCTAATGGGTAGACTAAGGTGAGGTGATTGTAGTAATTCATTGCTTAGCTTGGGAAAGATTATAATCTTCTCTTATTGAAAAACGGCGAGGTGACAGTGGTTTGTTTGCAATATCTTTTCATTTTTTTTCTTACTACAAAAAAATTCTAATAACAAGAACAAAACTACCAAATCTTTACTTATACTAGATATAAGTTACACACTCCTAGAAATATAAAACTTACTCAAAATTGTTTAATATATCTTAGAATACTAATATAAACATCTTAAATAATATAGATATAGATACAGATATAGACATAGATATGGATAGATTTGCCTAGGTATTTGTCTTATTTATTTGATTTGCATACAACAAGTATTAATTTTGAAAGTGGGTCTCGATGTCTAGCTTCTGTATACTATTGCATGAAATATGTTGAAGTAGATGAGATCAGGACCAGAAGTAGTTTTATGTAAATTTTAAAAAGTGTTACAAATAAATTTTGATAGATTTCATGAAAGGTACTGTTTTTGATCGTACGCATGAGTCTTTAGTTGTAATTTTCACAATGTGCAGACTGCAGACGATATTGTCTCATGCCTTTCTAAAGAATAGTTAGTGGCAATTATGTGTTCTATTTTACCTAAAGCGTCCTTATTTATTTTTTTAATTTCAATGTGGTTTTCGTTTTTTGCAATAATTATTTTGGTTGCCTTCTCTAACCATTCATATATATTTTTCGTCATCATTTGCTTCGTAATTCTTTGAGCTTTCAAAATGACTTTATTTGGGATCAGATCGACGATATTATTTTTAACATTTTCTGCATCCATTTTTGATCTTATACTTATTCATTTAGTTGAAAGCAGAAACTACATTGATCTACTTGGAATTAAAAATCCGTGTTTGAAATAATAGCAGGAATCACATCATATTATCAATATACATTTGCCGCTAATGAAAGTTCTATTAAATTAAACGTTCTGGCTCATTGTATACGTGCTTTGGTGTATCAGTCTAAAGTTGGATGTGAAATTTTATATTTCATATAAGCTTAACATCACATATTAACAACAACAAACAACAATGACCCATTTGAAATCCCAACTAGTGGGTATGGGGAGGGTAGTGTGTACGAAGACCTTACCCTTACCCCTAGGGGTAAAGAGGTTGTTTCTGAAAAATCCTCGGCTAAAAAAGACGAAAATAGGCAATATATCAATAGCATCAATAAAAACCATAGAAAAAACAACAACATCACAAGAACCAGAAAATAGATGAAAAGCAAAATAATAACTAGTAGATAAAGCCCGGCACTACGAGGAACGAAAGAATAGTGAGAACTCAACACTAAGCACTAACAATCTAAGACTAAATCCTAACAAACTAGTCTCACTCTAGTGCGCCGTAGAAATATGCACAACTACCTCCTAACCTGCAACCTTAAATGCTCGACCTCACAACTTCATGTCTAAGACCATGTCCTTGGTAATCCGAAGCCACGCCATGTCCTGTTTGATCACCTCTCCCTAATACTTCTTAGGCCGCCCTCTACCTCTCCTCATACCCACCAAAGCCAACCGCTCACACCTCCTCACATGGGCATCTGGGCTTCTCCTCTGAACGTGCCCGAACCAACTGAGCTTTGCTTCCCGTAGCTTTTCATCCATGGGGGCCATGCCCACCTTCTCCCGAATATCTTCATTCCTAATCTTATCCATCTTAGTGTGCCCTCACATCCATCTCAACATCCTCATCTCTACTACTTTTATCTTCTGGATATATGAGTTCTTAATTGGCCAACACTCAGCCCCATACAATATGGTCGACCTAACCATCGCTCAATAAAGCTTACCTTTGAATATCAGTGGCACTTTCTTGTCACACAAGACTCCACACGCTAACCTTTACTTCATCCACCCCACCCCTATACGGTGTGTGACATTCTCGTCGATCTCCCTATCCCCCTGTATAGCCGACCCAAGGTACTTGAAACTACCCATCTTGGGTATGACCCGAGAGTCAAGCCTCACATCCAATCCCGCTTCCATCGGCTCAATGCTGAACTTACACTCTAGGTATTCCATCTTAGTCATGCTCAACTTGAAACCCTTAGATTCAAGGGCCTGTCTACAAACCTCCAACCTCTCGTTGACACCGCCTCAGGTCTTATCAATCAGAACTATGTCGTTAGCAAATAATATACATCATGGCACCTCCCCTTGAATATGGTGTGATAGTGCATCCATCACTAGGGTAAATAGGAATGGGTTGAGCGCAGACCCTTGGTACAACCCCATAACAACCGTAAAATACACTGAGTCGCCTCCCACTGTCCTAACCCGAGTCTTAGCTCCATCATACATGTCCTTAATCAACCTAATGTAAGCAACTGTCACACCTTTTGCCTCGAGGCATCTCCATAGAACCTCCGTAGGAACCTTGTCATATGCTTTCTCCAGATCAATAAATACCATGTGCAAATCCTTCTTCCTATCCCTGTACTGTTCCACCAACCTCTTAATAAGGTGGATAATTTCCGTGGTAGAGCGCCCCGGCATGAACCCAAACTGGTTGTCTGAAATAGACATCGTCCTCCTCACCCTCACTCTGTCACGATCGAAAATCCAACTAGTCGTGATGGCACCTAACCCAACCCGCTAGGTAAGCCAATTATCAATTATCCAATTTCAATAATAATTATTAAAGCAATTTAAGTAAAGAAATATCTTAATCTTATTCATTCCCCCCAAGAACTGGTAGTACAAATCATGAGTTTGTAAGAATAGAGTTTACAAAACTGGTACGAAATAAATACACCATATATTTGAAAAGTACATAAACAGAGTTTTATGAATCTAAGGCTACCATGAACAAGAGACAGCTACAATCGGGACGCAGGTACATCTTCAATTTCAGCTCCCGTCGATCACAGCAACGTCAGCAGTCAATATCTGCACGCTAGGTATAAAAGTGTAGTATGAGTACAACCGACCCCATGTACTCAATAAGTAACATACCTAACCTTAGGTTGAAAGTAGTGACGAGCTAACACAAAGGTCACGATCCAGCTCCAATAACCAACAATAGTTCATAACAACATAAACAAGCAATACCAGAAGTAACTCAACAATCAAATGCTCAACAAAAATATGATTTCTGAAAATAATTCTGCCTTTCAAGTACATCAATGAAAACCCAAATCGTTTACTGGAGTTGCCAAAATATGAATAAGTTTAAAAACAATGATTTTCCCAAAAAGAAATCCTTTCAACAATGATAAGATATTTTATTTTCTTTCCAGATAACCAGTGGAAAATGCATCACTATGCCCATATGTCAATATGTGTGAGAAGTCATTAATGACGTGATACCGTACAATATGAGAAAAATGCATCTCTATGCATGTATGTCAAATGTGCATGTCAATATGATGCAACTCAGTGATAAAATCATATGTATACTCTCAGAGTATCATTTCACTTAGTCCTCCCAATCACTCAGTCCTTCCACTCACTCAGTCTTCACAGTCACTCAGTCCTCACAGTCACTCATGCCTCACAACCACTCAATCCTCCCAAATCACTCGACACTCGCACTCGACACTCGCGCTCGACACTCGCACTCGGCACTCACACTCAGTAGGTACTTGCGCTCACTAGGAGTGTGTACAGACTCCGTAGGGGATCATTCAACCCAAGCGCTATATCAAGCCAATCATGGCATAAATCAATAAAAACATGTTGTGGTGTGCAACCTGATGCCATAATATCCTCACAATTAGGCCCTCGGCCTCACTCAGTCATCAATATCTCCAGTCTTTCGGGCTTACAATGTCATGAAAATAGCCAAAAAATGATGATATAATGTATTAATAAATAACAACAGAGACTGAGATATGATATGTAATGAAATGAATATGACTGTGTAT